CTATCACTCCTAAATTAGGAATTGCTAGCGCAGATAAACCTCGAGTGGCTTTGTTTGATATTCAAAGCAAAACAAACCAGAAGAAATAGATAATTGATTAACTCAATTCCTTTCTAAACCTCGTGTTCTTTGGAAAATTTAATAGTAGTGTTTGTTTCCAAAGTTTTAGTTGATGCTTGCTCGAAGTGCATACTTAACATAAAACTATCCAATCTAACTGATTAATTTTATATGGACTAGAAAGTGAGCTTAGCACATAGTTTGTTACACGGATAGTAAAAATACTTTATGACCACGAATTATGCATTTTGCTTATGGCTTCTTGGGTTTATCAACTAGACAGAAATAATTGATAAATATACTACACACACACAAATCGTAAACCCAATAATCTTTTAATAAGGCTTGGAAGATTATACTTCTACACAATAAAAAATAAAGAATCACTATATACCTGCATGTTTTACTTGTGTTACCAGAATAAAGTGATAATTTGAATTATATTACATATATTACCTGACGTAGATAGACAGCACCCTAATTTCGTTTTGTTTGTTTGTTTGATTTTAAGAATTTCCTGCAAAGCTGAACTTTGACTATCTGCGTATAATCGTCCCTAATTTTAAACTGATAGACTAGAGAGAGGACAGCTAGTTAACACTTGGGCTACTCTGTGAACGAATAATGGGATCTGAACTTCACTTTTATACCTCACCCACTGCCTCAAAATGAACGAGAAACGTGAATCCTAAGGTAAGTCCAGTCACTTCGTCTCCTATTTTCTTTTCTTATTCATAAAAGCACAGACCCATAAAACCGTTCAAAATTTGGATACGGCATAAAGATTAAGAGAAATGGCAGCTAATTTTGAGTTTACCCAGTTCCACGGTGGGAATAGTGTGGACACAGAAATTGATTAAGGTACACTGCATCACATACTAAATACTATCGTCATAACAAGATCATCAGGAACCGCCAGTGGGAATAGTGTGGACACAGAAACTGATTAAGGTACACTGCATCACATACTAAATACTATCGTCATAACAAGGTCATCAGGAACCGCCAGTCCACTGCCACTATCAGTGTTTACTTTATGAAAGTAACTAATTACCAATAACCAAGTGGAAAGTAACATGCTTCAAGTCCAGCAAATGTTGAGAAGATATGTTTAAGCTTTGCACTCAGCACAGCAAGTTAATTTTTTTATTGAGATCATAGAATTATTAACCTTGAAACTGGACGCCTGTGTTCTCCATAGGTGAGCTATGTATGTATAATCATATAATAACGATCGACGAGATGGACTCGTCAACTGTTCAAAAATATGCTGCGCAACTTCAGGGACTAAATTAATTCCAGCGGAACCTATCATCTTTGTCATGCAACTCTTTCTTACAAGTCCATTTAATGGATGACTCTCATATTGTCAGTTCTTATGTTTCACGGACTATAATGGACAATCTATTGCTAAAGCAACTTATCTACATTCATCAAAGAAACTGAGCTGATAAAACAGACTCTGTTTTCAGCTCTGTCACTCAGTTTCACTATAAAGATACACCACTTACAATTCTAACCTAGACCGTATGTGTATATTAAAAATAATCTTATTTGTTTATCTCGTGTCATTAGCTGTCCTGAGTAAACGGATGTTTAAATTTCGATGAAATTTGGTAGAGAAATCAGGTGAACCCCCAAATAACTTGTTTAAATAGATAATCAATCAGACGAACCGTTCGAGTTGGCAAGCATTTAAATTTTTCCCGCCTTAATGCCACAGATGATGGCTCAATTGAGCTGAAAGCATAATACGTCTAGCCGATATTAAACGAAAAATACGTTTAATGCCGAGAATAATCGGATACCTTTACATCGGGCGAACGGTTCAAACCCACAAAATAGTGAAAGGGGACGACCCACACTCCAGTATTAGTATTTCATTATGTATGTATGTGAGTGCGGGGTTTCCTGTTTTTCTCAATTCCCAAAACTAAGTGTTTTCTTAACATATACAGCAGATAGAAGTATACTTTTGTATTACGGAACATGTACCTCGCATGACTGGTTCACTCTAAAATTATCTTCCTTTCTGATCATACATATATATATATATATATACTAGTGTTAACTATATTATTAATATCACACATAAGACTAAATGCATTTTATGATCAGCTATTTTATTAATTTTCAAATTATGTAAACACTAATGTACAAAATATTAAGCGAGAATATTTAACTTTATTGCACTGTATTTTACTCTATTTTTTAATGATTTATCGGCATTCGAAGTAATGATTTTGTTTGCATTATGATATATACGAGTGCGCGTGCTAATTTTAGTTGAGACAATTTAGCATCAGGTAAAAAAAAACAGTTAGCGAGATTCTGTTACTTAGCAACGAATGTGTATGTAGATCATTTTTACGGCTTTAAAAATGTTGATTTTCTTCCCTCCTTATTTGTAATCTTTCATGAGCTAACATATCTATTCCGTGTTTTTCAAGTAATCAGTTAATTACAGATTGCTTTTCAAGAACTTATAACTTATAAGAAGGTTCAAGTAATAGCGACTGCACTTCGTGTCCTACTGTGAAAAATGAAAACTCTGCCATTCTTATCCTTCATCTGTCGTGATTATTCATATTGCTTTGGCTATGACAGACGTTAACTACATTGATAGACAAATGTCAAGACACGATCTTCACACGCTGACATTACAACAAATAACCATTACTGGACCCCAAGACAATTTGTTTGTTTTTTG